AATGAAATTACAGAGTCAAGATTAAAGCCTATAAGGATTGGATTGTAAATAGTTTGAAAAGGAACATTTAAACTTTCACAAATTTTTTTATTATCTGAGGGAAAAACGCTCCATAATACCTAGATGCGACTAGGCTCAGTTTTGCAAAATTTTTCATCTCCTCATTGATTAATTAATAGCATTAAAATGACATATTTGTCTTGGAATCACACTCTTCAGTTGCATGTACAAAGCTCTTTAATCGTGCGTCAAATCATGCGTCAAATCTCTTTAACGTGCAGCTCGATGTAGAAGGCAACAGGACGTTTCCATTGTTTCGTGATATATGTATCAAACAAGAATGGTATAATAAGTAGAGTTCAAAAATCATAAGTAGCGAAATAATTTTTCTTCGAAGCGTTGAGAATTTGAATGTTATCATAAAGATAACTGAAAACATACTAGTGTATAGTCATCCATGTTGTACTACTGCTTTTGGAAGTTGTTCTGTTAATACGATACGAGCCCATGTTTTTACAGGGATTTAATGAGGAATCTTACATGGCATATTAAAACTAGTAATAAGTTTCATATACTTAAATGGTAACTTTGTTGTGATATAGCACAGGTCTGCAGCGTATTACATACATTAACATGACACCAAATGAGTATTCACATTCTGCGTGTGAATGTCTATGGCCAAATTTAAGAAATGTAAATGAAAATGTCTATAACGAAAACGGTACGTTGTGAACGAGTCTTGACGTGTAAAATCATTTGAACTATTGAATCTTGTTATGGCTGGCTGCCTTCGAGATGCGGCATCCCCACGTGCTCCTATCATTGCTTTATCTTTGCAAGGAATCTTCATAAGTCTCAAACATAAGCAAGCATTGTAAAGATACTAGACAATACTGACAAGGCGGAGTGTGGACGCAAACTAAACCTCCACTCCTTTTAGTCTCCTTAAAATATCTGAAATAAACAATGTCATGAATTACAGTCTTATTGACTAAAACTCAATCTGATTATTTTCTTCAAATTGTTCGGGGAGGGGGGAGGGTAGGGAGGGGACGTTATGCCACTTTTTGAGGGTAAAATTTGTGCAGGTAGTGGGCTGTTTGTATAAAGATGGTATTTAAACAATTTATTGCATTTGTCTTGTATCTGATCATGAAATTAGAGCTTGTTCATATCCTTTTAAACATATTCCTCGACACAAAATTGATCAATATTATCAAAACAACATGCTTGAGCATTACAAAGGAGATTTGAATGAATGAACAGCGCAGTTACAGATTGTTGCCCATGCGAACAAAGCAGACACACAGACAAAATATTTAAGTGGTTGTTGAGCACCATATTCATCGAGTGTCGTAGCCAAAATCCAACTCTCAACACGCCATTATAAATTCAAATTTAGTGCAAAGGAGAGTATAAAAAATCACGATAAGCAGAGAACCGACACACTTGGATGTCAGTTGTGTGTTCAGTTCACTTGAAGTTCAAACTTTGAGATTGAGCAACAATTATGAAGACGATCGTACCAGCTTTCTTCATAATCCTTTCACTTTGTTTGCTATGCGTGTTTGGTATGTATATTAAATTTTACCAAAGGCAGTCTCGAAAGCCTGCTTGGCTAGAAGGGGTGCAATAATATGAAGTAAAGAAAAGGCAATTTTTTTTATTTTTTACTTGCTGTCGTGTCCACGTGTAGAATAATTGTTCGTTTAATAACTTTAGTACAATGAGTCTTATCTATTCGAGTTTACTTTGACGTAGGTCTATGTAGTGGATTTAAAATTTTACTATAGTTTTTCAAACAATTTAAAATCGTCATGCGTGCTTTGCTAATATTTAATTTTGTTTGGTAACTTTGTGTTTATACGTGGGCTAATACATCGTGTTATGCGTGTGAGTGTCATATTGTTTAGGAGCATGACCTGAGATCTGGTATGTATGAGTAAATATTACTACAACAAGAATTAAGAACAGTTTTCAAGATAGTATTTATTAAGCACCTATTCAGCCAACGATGACTTTCTGTTCGTTCATTTTTCACGTTGATATGAAAGGCCAAAAGAAATTGCATTCTTTTTCTAACCTCCTCCACGGCCAATTTCATAATAAATAATCTTTTTATTCAATCATGATCATTTTCCTAATATAACATTTACGTTCCAGGTCATTTTATCCGTGACGAGGCTGAAGACGAAATTTTCCCCCAAGATGAACATTCAGGTTCATATTTCTCTTTATTACATATCATAATTATAATCAGGGAACGTATGTAGGTAGCTACAAAAGTCGATCAATTTGAATTTACTTTGCAACTAAGACAATGTATGTTACAACATGGAGAGAGACTCCTAACTCCACTGCAGATATTTAAAACAGAGCAAATCTTAGTCCCTCTTGTAATATACAAATAGGGCACTGCATATTAAGCATGCGCTTTTGTCCTGTGAATTTTCAAAATTTAGCACTGGATTTCACATGTGCATGGCGTCTTTGTCACATAGCTATTAAAATCCTTCTATCGACAAATTTTAGGGAGTACTTGCAGTGCAGTAAAAGCCAGAATAGATTGTGGTTACGTGGGAATAAAACAGCAGGAATGCGAACATAACAACTGTTGCTGGGATAGCAGCAAGCCAAAAGATTATTTTTGTTTCTACAAAGGTAAACAAGTAGCATTACAATACTATACACAATCCTTCTATGGGAAAGCAAAACAAAAGGGTGTAGCTTCCATGTCTTTGTTATAATGAATGAGGAAGCACGCACTGCACTGTATGGTCTTAAATATTGTAGTAGAAGAAAGTACCAACATTTGATGTACATTAAGGCACGTGCATAACTTAAATATACACCTATTCAAAAACCATGACGTTTTCGCACTAACTAGCGACACAAACCAAAATGGTCGTATATAAACCCACATTCGATTGAAAAGTAATTTACCTAACCTCTTTTTTGCTAGGTTAAAGTGAAATTTAAACACCAAAATATTTTATTCCGAGGCTTTGTAAGGTGTATTTATTATATTTTAGGTAGGGAGTGCAAATCGTTGGACCCGACGAAGCGATTAGATTGCGGTTATTATGGAATCAAGGAAAAGGAATGTTTGACAAAAGGCTGCTGTTGGGACAAAAGTCATGAAGGCGTTCCCTGGTGTTTTTACCAAAGTATACTTAAACACTTTATATAATTCTTTCACATATATAAAATTCTTATTTAACTTGACAAGTCATAAAAACGTACAAATCACTGTAATCTTCACATTGTTTCAAAGTTTGAAGAAATGTTATGCAAAATTTTGACCATTGCAGCTATAAATATTTAAACTATGGTTTCACACACATATAGGTTGTGCTTGCGATGTTGTAAAACCACAAGACAGAATTGATTGCGGATACTTAGGAATAGATGAAAGCGAATGTAAAAAGAGAGAATGTTGCTGGGATAACAGCATACCTGGTGTCAACTACTGTTTTTACAAAGGTATGGAGTTTTCTATTACAGCCAGTGTTTCATCCTTTACGAAATAGGGTGTTTTCTTTGCATAATTTCTTCTGTTGGATCGTTAGAGAGACTACTCAAAACAAATGTTTGACAGCCTGTCATATAACGGTTGCACGAGTAACAAAAACTTTCAAAGTGGGAGAACCCATTTTGCTGTACCAAAGTAGTATCAAATAATTTAACACAAAATAACTGCATGCACAATAATAAGCAGTTGACCAAGTGTTCATCATAATAACAATCCCAAGATGCAATTGAATTAATACTATCAAATAATGCTAAATATTCCATAACTCATGCTAACAAAGTCAAAACGTGAAACTAATTTTTCTCAAAATGTTTTGTAGGTAGTGTTTGAACGACGATTTCTGGCACAAGGAACGATGTAGTACATTAGTATTGTCAAATTAACTATGGTTGTTGTAGTCAAATATATTCTTTTATTGTGGCATTGTTGACATTTGTCTTGCATTAAATTTGCTAGTGTATGAAGCATTTGTCTTTTTGGGGAAAGCACACGATTTAATATAAACACACCATGTTTAACACAGACAACAAGCATGAGAATTTTATCATAGCATGACTTATTTGTTACACTGTACTGCAAATGCAATTTCATTGCTAGAATTGTTCATTCAAGCGGTAAAACCAATCCAAACGCGAGCATTTTACGCGCCTTGTGAATTTATTCTGTTGAATGAATACATTCATGGTATGTCAATTTGGGCTCAATCAAAAGTGATCCTCTTAATAGCTGTTGCTGAGTCGGACATGAAATAACAAGCAATAATAAGGTTTTATCTGCCTTTTATGTGAATCTTACAGTTAGAGTTCACCCAGTTTGACTAAGAAGCTTTTATACGAAAGATTTGAACGATTAACAACATAACTCGCCTTCTCCATCTCTGAATATTTGCAAAGTTTCTTCTATTTGAGCTCAAATATCAATTTGAAAGCTTAAACCATTACGTTACTGACTTAAACTGAAAAGTAAAAGCTGTTGCGTTTTCTTCAAATATGTCACATCAATTCACATATTGATTGGCTAATGGCTACATAAATTGTGTAAGAGCCTACATTACGGTTAGCGTGTTACTGAAGTGCTTTCATGAATTCATTTTAGCTATGACTCGTTTTTTCTTAAGATCAGTTATTATCGCTAAGTCAGTTATTTCTTAAGATCATATGTTACTATTTTATTAAATAAATTTTACTTAATTTACTCTCCAATTTTTATTTCTATATTGACATTTTTTTGTTGCCTAATCGAAGCTAAACTTATCTCTCCCAAGTTTTTTTCAGATTTTTCTTTTAACGACCCGTACAGATGATTTACAAAACAGGCAATGACATAAGATATAAGTTTACCGTTGACAGTACTTTGATAAGATAGTATAATCAGTGCAGGGAAGTGGATTTGACGACTGAAACAATACAACGAACTCCAGTCTGGAAGGGAGTAGGGGCAGTTAAATTCAAAATGCTTTAAAAGGCAATTTTTAGTCAGAATATCATTTATTTTGTGCAGATATCATGAACTGACAAATGTAAATAATTGTTACACATTACATTAATGAGATTAAAGATCCCATATATCTTCTAACGCACGCAAAAGGGAAGGAATGGTGTTAACTTTTGAAAATCTTTAAAGAAACGTGTACAACACAGACTTATAATATAGGAAGGCATCCCATTCGTAATCTGGCCTTTGAAACACTTAGCAGGAAAGGTATGATAAGTGTAGTATTGAACAAGCACATAGTGCTGACATTTTTCCATAAGCACTTTGAAAACTCTTTTTTAACTTTAGAGGAACGCCAGAAGAATTTATGAGGCTGTGCGTACATTAGAATAGCGTGCATTAGAAATATAAGGAATGCTAGTGATTTACAAGGAAAAACATTATTGTTCAAAATCATTACTTTAACTATAAAGCTTATAACAAAGCTCAATTTACAAAACTAATCATGTCTTACGTATGTTTGCAGTATTATTTACATTGACGACGAGCAAAGAAAAGTGCTAAGATAATCTTGTAATAAGTAAATAATCATTATAAAGGTTTGTTCCTAACTCTAGTTTCTATCCACAAAAAAGGAAAGTTGCATGTACGTGTCACTGAGACTTAGTGGAAGAAAAAACAAATTGATAACAGTTTAAAATTAAAAGAAAATGGACACAAATAATTGTTTAAAGCCGAATAGCAAATATCTGAATCGCGAATGAAAACTGATGCCTATCTGGGCTTTGAATAAACAAGCTTTTTCATGTATCACATTGCCACTAGACCTTTACTTTGAAAAACCTAAAACTCGATTAAAGATGACAGCTTTCAATTCACTCCTGTTATACGACATCCACGAATTCCTAAACTAGTAAATTTATAATGATCACTTTTCAAGGTTTCACGATAGCATTTAGCACCTTCATTTATTACTTGAATATCATTAATTTTGAAATCAATAAGCTTACAATTCTTGTTTCCTAAAGCTGCACTAAGATCTTTAGCACCTTCATTAGTCATTTCTACACCCCCTACATAAAGTTTTTTCAGCTTGCAATTTTTGCTTTTCAAAGCTTCGCTCAGATATTTGATGAAAATATATGTAACAAAAGTACCACTTATTGCTAATTCAGTCAGTCTACAATTTTCATTTTGTAAAGCTTCGCTCATATTTTTGGCATCTTCCTCAGTCAATTCAGTACAACTTATAAGCAAGTTTGTTAATTTGCATTTCTCACTTCCTAAAGCTTTGCTGAGATGTTTCAGAAAATGATCTGTTCGTTGAGAAATGTAAATATTCAGAGTGGTAAGATTACAATTCTCACTTTCTAATGCTACACCAAGTCCTTTAGCGCTTTCTTCAACGATTTTAACTGTCCTTATGAGCAATGTTTTTAGTTTGCTGTTCTCCCTTTTCAAAGCTTTACTGAGATATTCAACACAATGATCTGGTAAATTAGAACTTTTAATTCTTAGAGAAGTAAGTTTACAGTTCTCCGATTCAAGAGCTTCACTAAAATCTTGCATAACTTCATTGGTAATTTGAAAGATATTAACATCCAATTTCGTTAGTTTGCAATTTTCACTTTTTAAGGCTTCACTGAGGTATCTAATGCAAAGATCGGTTTTATTGCTACCACAAATACTTAGTTCAGTAAGTTTACAAAATGGATTACTTAAAGCTTCAACAATGCATTTAGTAAAATGATCAGACATTTTATTATTATAGATGGTTAATTTAGTCAATTTGCAATCCTCGCTTTGCAATGCTTCGCTAAGGTATTTTGCAGAGTTAAGTTCTAGTTTTGTGGTATGAATGATCAATTCAGTAAGTTTACAATTTTTACTTTTTAAAGCTTCACTAAGAACCTCGACACCTCTTGTGGAAATTTTAGTTCTTTCGTAATTTAACTTGGTCAGCTTGCAATTTGAGCTCTTTAAAGCTTCACTCACATATTCGGTGCTTTTATTTGAAAGATTACTTCCACCAATCAATAATTCAGTAATTGGACAGCTTTGGCTTTTTAAAGCGTCACTGAAATGTTTCATAAAATAATTACCAAAATCACATCGTAAAAATGAGATTGAAGTTAGAGTGCACGAGGCGTTGTTGGATAGAAACATTTTCATTCTGAGACAGCTATCGTTATCAAGCATTTTGCATTCATCAAATGTGATTTTTTTTATGTGTCTACATTCAGAGAGAAATTCGAATAATGCATTGCAATCAACTGGCGTAAAAGAGACATCACTTATGGAAATTTCTTCTGTTGCACTTTGTAATTTTGCACAAGCTGATCTGATTACATCCAAGTCTTGTATTTCGTAAAGGCATTTAATGCCAAGAAACCCAATGGTTTTGCAACCATCGCTAGATTTCAGCTGCAAGATCCATTTTTCAAGTCTAGAAATCCAAATGCTGCATCATTAATCAATAATGTTCAATTATCAGAAAAAACCTTAATGATTTCCCTTTAACAATGTGAAACTTTACCATTGATACTATGGAGTCCATGCGAAGCAAAACTTCTACATTACAGCATCAAGCAACAGTCTATAAATTTCATCTCCAAACGGAATCCACCTTTCCAAATTTATTTACAAAAATGACCTTTCATCATTCATTAGATTCAAATGTGAGCCTCTGTTTTAAGGTCTTTACGGATCAAGTAGTTTATTTGAAAAACATCAAAATTTCTAATTTTCAAAAAACCAAAGCAAACAGAAAATACTATGACTTTATTTTTGAATCAGTGCAGCTCAATCAAACTTAGATATACGAGCATGTCTGAGCTTATACGTACATTACTTAAACATCAATTTTTAACGTTTTATAAATTGATTATGGCATACACAATACTTTGAAAAAACATTCTTGATATGCAAATTGGAAATTTTGCTGTTCTCTAAAACAAATGCTTGCTTTCGTCATGTATAACTTTAAACAAAATTTGCCTAATACCATAAATGTGCGTTATCAATTTAAATCTAAAAATACAAATCTTTGAGAAAATACGCAAACATTTTCAAAAACAATTTCTCTTGCATTTCTAGATTTTTAACTAATCCCTTCATTATATTTCAATCTCTAATAGTAGCTATAGCAGCGTAAAAACCAAATAGCTTCCATAAATGATCAAGAGGAATTATAAATGAAAAAAAACTTTCCAAATCCCTTATATTGGCAAATTCATAACTCTAAAAAATCAGACTTAATAACACTATACCTCATTTGAACATCGTCGAGATTCATTCTTTTATTCTCTTTCTTCGAGTCGCCAACTAAACCAGCAACAAACTCTATCACCAAATGCCATTTAGGATCTGCCTGATGATCATCCAAAAACTTTCCAATGCTTTTCCAGTCGTCAACAACGCGCCATGCAGCAAGAAACTCTTGAAGAGTCAAATGAAGAAAGCAAAAATAATTCCGTCTTTTGTCTGGTATTTGGTGAAGTAAACCACAATTAACTAGATCTTCAAAGCCTGTAAGGTGTGTTTCATCAAAAATCAATTTCCCTTCATCCATTCCTTTCTTTGCAAGGCTTTTCATCTTCTGTATTTCATCATCAAGCTCGCTTGGTAAAGGCTTTACAAAATAACCCCTGTCTGGCTTCGGTATTGATCCTGATTTGCAGCGTGGATGGTGTCTCCAGAGTAAGATTCTCACCACTCTTTTGTATAATTCGGTGATAGTCTTTGGAATATCCTCAGCATTATTGATGAAGCTTTCCTTCAAGGTCAGGCAAATGATGTAACAGTTAACGGGAATATAACACAAGCTCCGAAGTTCTAGAGAACTGTCAATGCGATCGAAAATCTTTCTAGCAGTACTCTTGTCTTTCCAACAAAACTTGAAAACATATTCCTTAATCTGATCCTCAAGAAATCCCAGGATCTCCACAGTCCTTTCAAACTTTAGTAGTTCAAAGGCATGTTGCGCCGTGGGCCGCGATGTTATAAAAACAGTAACACCAGGCAGCAATCTTCCTTCAACTAACATACTCAGTAGTGTAAACGCTGGCCTTTTTGCATTAACACACAATGAGCCATCAGTTCTAAGATGTTCATTGTTCAGAGAAAGCTCATCAAGACCGTCAAAAATAAGTACTGTTCTATCAGGATTTAACAGTACAAAATCATAAATTTGTGCAAACTGTCCAACAGAGTACCCATCACAATCACCTAGCATTTCTTTGAGCGTCATGTCGTCTTCTTTAAACGAACGACATCGGATTAAAAGCACAATTTTATCAGTCCAGAATTTGTCCGAAGTATTCTTCCATTCATGCATAAGCTTTCTCGTCAACATAGTTTTACCAATTCCTGGTCTTCCTATCACTAAAATGGATCGAGGATACAACTGATCTTTCTTACTCTGGACTGGCAAAAATATTTGTGTCGCACGTGTGATTTTTACAGCATCGTTTCTAATTTTGAGATGACAATGGAATATTTCATGCCTTTCAAAAGTGTCTGGGTAAGACTTTCTTAACTGCCTTTCAGCTTGCATTACGACATTTACATAAACATCTTTGACATTTCGCCAGGCATTTACATCATCTCCAAAATCATCGTGTATTTCAAATATTTTGTGCGTGTAAAACTTACGTTTGAGTTTTTCCAACCACTTACTTTGGCGTGTTCGTAATAAGTAAACCATACAAAATTCCTGCTCAGTCATAATGTAACTGTCATTGAAAGCTAAATACGCTAAGTAACACAGCTCTAAAGTTGTCAATATTATTACGATGACATTAGCAATTGCAATAACCCAGATCAAAGTTTCGCTTTTATCACCTTTCGGATTCTTGCAATCAAATGATGTGACGTTGTGTGAAAATAGAAATTTGTGGTTTGATAAAGGGTTTTCTTTCATCTTAGGATGCCATGAGCAGGAGTAGTCGGTTGGATACTTTGCTGAGAAAAGTATGGCAGCAAATATAGACAATATGACATGCCGAGCAACCAAATAAAAGATGTAAATCAGAAATGTGGAAAAGCGAGATGCATTTTTGCTAGACAGAGGAGTGTCTTGAATAACTTGTGGAACTAAGGCTTGATCACTTTCATCAACAAATTCTTTTAGATTAAGCTGAGCATATTTTTCAACTCTATTCTTCACTAGATATCCATAAATGAGAGTCGCAAGTAAAAAAATACCGAAGTTTAAAGTAATGATGAGAATTAACGGGAAGTTTATTGTTATCTCCTCGTTGTATTTTCTCCAACAATCTGATTCAATATTTCTCAATAAAGATTCATGTTTAGTAGTTGGTATCACCTCTATTGAGCAATAAAACGAAGTAACACCATACATATTGATTGAAATACCGAGAATTATCAAAAGGAATGTACCAAAGAAGACAAGCAGTAGTCTTTCATATACGTTGAATGACTTGTGTGGAATATATTCAAGGCATTTATACATTTTTCGTTTCCTGTAAAAAGCACAAGCGCATTGATATACATCACTTATCAATTTTAGTAATATTGAACCAGTTCTCCATTTTTTAAACGTAATCGGTGTATTCATTTTCACCAATTTATTTCTATATTTGTACTAAATTGGATTTTTCCATATCAACATTTGTCACATCCCAATCACTTTAAAGACGAAATTGCTAAGAAAATTTTAGGTTAACGAGTGTACAGCATGTAATATGACAGGTCATGAGTACTCCGGAAAATTAAGCGAAAGCGATATTAGCTAGCTACATAGCTAGAAAATATATCTTGCAATTGCTTACCACACAATCCATAAGAGCTCTTGCTAAACAAGCTTAACTCATGAATAAAATCCTCCCATTTAGGCCCGTTTCAAACGTCGCTTTTTACATGAGGCGAATGCATTAAAGACAAAAGAAAATGGGATAAAATGCCTTATTACCTTTCGTCTGAAATGCATTCGGCTCGTGTAAAATGTGATGTTTAATACTGGGCCTTACACTGTTAAAACATTTCTTTCATTGAAGTTAATTGCTCAAAGCTTGGATGAGGCTCCCCCTGTCGCTTTATTATTGGAAATCCCTCTTCTAAGAAAGCCCATTGTATCTTTATTTCTGCTAGTGTGTCAGCTGGGATTTTGTATTCGGATGTGTTAAATCAATACTGCTCATACCTTGTGTTTGTTAGTATGGCGCAAAGTATTGTGTTAAATAGTTTAAATATTAGGCTGATGGCAACTCATTGATAAATTTAATTTTCACTTTAAAAGTGCCATTCCGACAAATTCGAGAGAATTAAGATAATTGTTTTAAGAATTTGGGCGTTAAAAGCATGACTCGCAGTTATCATGCCGTTTTTAGGTGGATATATTAATTATAGACACAAACAGATGCATGGGGAAACTAGAACCTTAAATAGGGGGGGTTGTATATTCATATATTCATAAATGCTTGACTGATTTATTGTGTTAGCGATTATATTTTCAAAAGAAATCAACATGGCAGAGCTGAAAAAATGAATATTCACCCTCCCCCACTTAACATTCTAGTTTCGCCTCTGAGGAGATGTCCCAATGTTACTTAAATTGACATCGGTTTCATCACTGATAACAAATTGTGACTACCGCTAAGGTTGTCGAAACGTCAGTCAACAACAACAAAAACAGTCCTTCTCAGGACTTTGTTTTAATTATACAAATATATCATACATACCACGAATACTTACCCCATACCTTATTAAATATTTAACAAAGATTCTCTGTGTATGTATAGTGTATATTGTATGAGTAATGAAACAGTTGCTAAAAACGTGCTACATTTTTTAAGACAAGTGCGTAACGAGTAACAAAGCTGAATCATCTTATACTAATGCTTAAAGATTCAGCTTCTTTTGAATCATGGAAAATGTATTTTTTTCTGGTGATAAGAAATATTACGATGAATCAAAATCAATTCAGAGCGAACATACCACAAATATCTATTCCATACTTGAATGATTATTATGTATAGCATCAAATTATTTAAACAAACTGTCTATAAATGTTTCAATATATAAAATGCCCTGTAAGCCCGTGCGGTTTGAAACTTTCTTCAATAAATACTTTGGACTAAAATTCTTCATTCCTTCCTTTTCATTTATATGATATTATTTATGTAAGTTGTAAGTATTTGACAGCAGTTATAGAAAATGACAGTAAATAATTGAAGTGATAGCCCATTATACGGTACACGTAGCTATATAGTTTGAAGAAAAAACTACTTACCTACGTACGCTTAAACTCTTGATCTAGATCTTCATTTCTTGGTGCTCCTAAATCCTTGCTTACAAAGATACAGACTTTACGTTAAACGTTCGATATTCGATCCACAATCCAAATGGCAGATGTTGATGATTCCGTTTGAGTTTAAAAATAACATTCGTCGTATCGTCGTATATTCAGACTTGAGCTTTGAGTTTTGTTTATATCTGTGTTACCAGAGCAAACTACCAAAGCGAACTATGGAACAAACTACTAAGCAAACGACCGAAGCAAACTACCGAAGCAAACTCTAAAGCAAACTATTAAAAGCAATTAGCAAGTCAAACTGAACGAAGACTTTCGGTGTTATGCATTTGTATAAAGTGTGTGATTGGAATTTGTGTGATGAAAGGAATTTGTTTGTTGTTGTTACGAAATAGCGTGTTTGTTCCATTTTTGTTAAGAATGGCAAACGACGTGGGAAAAAACCCCGTTCAGACAACATATGATTTAGTTTACCCTAATAAAATGGAAATGCTGCGGATTTGATTCAGGGATTTTGTCGAAATTCGAGAAAATGCTGGTAATCTATATGTGGCCATGTCTGCAATAATACACACTGAACTGCAATAATACACACTGAACTAAAAATTAATAAATATATTAACCATTGGGAATAATCTTCATACTATTGTAACAAATAAGACTTTCTGCCAGGGGCAGATTGAAACTACGTCACATTTAGCACGCGACGTAGTTAAATTCTGCACAGTAGCGAAAAATTTAATCAAATTTTAAATACCCTTAGTTAAAATAAATAACAATTTCGTGGGAGTGAAATAAAGCTCGTTTGGTCAAAAGGACCCAGGGATTTTTTCTATGCAGGTTCGAATCTCATCTCGGTAGGGTGTAGTTTGTTTCAATGTGTAGATAATGATCATGAATTCTTTATCCTAAAATTAATTAAATTTTTTGTGTCCTCACAACGAAAGCATTAAAAAAATAAACTATTGTCAGGGTTAGGGATAGTATTATGAGAATTTGTGCAACAACGTTCATTCACTGAGCAATGTTATTGTTTCCAAGACCTGGATTGAGCATCGGATTTAGAGATCAAGTGGCTAAAAATACTTGCAATTCACATGCGGGAGAAATACCCATAGCTAACCTGCACAGAGTCAGCACGCCTAAAATTGTGTTGAATTTGGAGACTAAAATCTGCCTCTTGATTGGTTTATTGCCGTTGTGCTGACTAACGAGCCGCCGTTTTTTCTGAAATGTTCAAGCGGTGTTGTGCAAAATTCAGCACAAATTGAGATTGTTGATAGCCGAGGTTTTATCTTGAGCTTCAAAACCAACAATATTAATGAGAAGCATGGCCTCTTTCACTGACCGACTCGAAGATGCTTTTACGAGGAAAGATGGGACTTTTATGGGTGAACTCTATGGAGGGATGTTGGATTGCCTGAAAATCAAAAGCATTGTTACCAGAGATAATTTGTTGGATCGTCTCGGTGTTGATATTTTCCGAAATATCAATGCCGAATTTTACATACCGCAGAGTGCCAAGACAAAGAACGCAAATTTGGTTGCCTTAAGGTTAGAAAACTTATGACATGTCATGCATGCATGCTTACACAAGAATATATAAGCAAATATAAATTGACTTGATGTGATGCCCGATGGATTTGTCATTTGTGGTTTATTTATGTGATTCAAAACAAAACAAATTTTCGAATTTCGATCATATTTAAAACGTTTCTATTGATTTATTTCTTGATATGTTCTATAGTGTACTTAAAGGACATGGGACATATATTTTTTCATGTCGCCTAAAAATTCATTGCAGTTTAGTATTCCGCAAAACATTATTTTTCCGGTTTGAAAATATATATTTATAGCGCAATTTAAAATGAAAGTTTGCTTATTTCAAGGGCTGTTCCGCCATCTTGAAATGAGCAGCCAAATTAATTAGATTTCATATGTGACGACACAACAGGGAGAATGAGAATTCTCACTCCGAAAGTTCTTCGTCGAGCGAAGTAGATGATCAGATAGACGAGGAGTTTGAAGCTATGTATAGTTGGCGTAAAACTTCACTCAGTTGGTGTAAATGCGGCCATTGTGAGTTGATGGCAAAAACGATTAAATGCTTTTGCTCAAAATTTGCACAAAATAATCTGAAAAATTCACATTGGGTAACTGTACAGGCTGGAATGACACATTACTCTTTATTGGTCAATGCAACCCTTTTTTAAAGTAAAATACGCCATTTGGAAAAATGAAAAAATGAATAGAATGGTCAGAATTATTTTTGCTGTTAATGTAACATCCATATACTGCGCAGTACATGATCGCTGAAATCTGCTGCCTACAATAATACAATTCTTATAACTTTCTTCTATTTGTAATCATCTCTATGACTTTTGCGAATATGTTTCATGAAGCTTTAGCTGTCATATTATTTGATGTTTTTCATCGTCTACGGTTTCCCACGAGCACGAACATGGAGACGAACAAGCTCCGATACAACCATACAACATGTATACTGAATATATAAATATATAACTTATTTTTCTTTTTTTTATTTCATTATGTATATTGCATGTACATAATGTAAAAAAAGTGTGAAAAAACTTTTTTTTTAAGAATAATTCACACTGACTTCATCGAAACACATATAAAAGTATATTGTGTTACCAGATATGCCTCCCAGTTGTGACGTCGTTGCATAAATCTGCATATCTCATTATATTCAAAACAAATCAAAATGGCCGGCGGAACTTTGAAATTGGAGTCAGAAAAACCTTTGCTACATGAACACAAAAACTTTAGCTGAACTAACAAAGGTATATTATAAGTCTATGCGATATTTCCCCTTATTTAAGCCTAACTTAAAATATACGTCCAATGTCCTATGATAAGATATACAAAAATAAACTGAAGCATGATATTTAAAAATTTACATAACATTATTTCAGATCTGCTACAAATAGCAACTGCCTCTATAGTTCATTGTCAATTCGCTTGTTGGTGACAACTTTGTGGTGACTATTTTGAGGCTGATGACCTCTTTAGAATCATTTTTATTTGCTGATTATTATGCAAAACATCCATGTTTTTCAAATCTTTTTGAAACTCAGCATAACAAACACTTTGATTCTATCTCAAGCATGGTGGCCAAGTCAGTCTCTTTTGAAGCTATTGATAGTGCTGGAAGTGGTTGTTCTGTTGCTAAACTGGTCAGGACAGAAGCTGTATTAAATGCAAAAGATATGTCATGACTGCGTTTGTTTGTTTGTTGGCACTCTCTTCAGTTACATCCTGTAGCATTTTTTCTTATTATCCTGACATATACTCTAGTGCTTATAAAGGGAATTTATTAATTAACCAAAGAATTGAACCTCAAATTCAATCTAGGGCTTGTGCTTCCACTAGTAATTATTTGCAAGTTTTGTTTTGCGTTGAAGGTTTAGCTCCTTAAGCAACTGCATTCAAACACAATCATTATGTGCCTTTGATACTTGGTGGGAAGGGAACTAAAAGAAAGGGAAGTAGTCACTTGTCACAAGCTAAAAAGCCCAGTATACAAACAAGGTTGAGGTTTACACTTCTGGTCCTACTGAGACAGTCATGACAACTAAGGCTCATCCCTATGGTATATCTCACAGGTAAATTTCCCAGGTTTTGAGAGCATAAAAGTATTATTAAAGATCTTGAGTACTATTCCAGTCCCTTCTTGTGAGTGTGAGAGATTGTTCTCTGCTTTGCGAAGATTAAAGAACTATACAAGAAGTACTATGGCTGCTGACATGTTAAATGGTCTTGCTTTATTGTATATTAATCAGGACATTAATCCAGATATAGAAAAGATTATAGATCTTTTTGCAAAAGACAGAAGAAGAATTGAACTAGCTTTCTAGTAAGGAGTGAAAGTCTTTGAAGCCTTTTTAAACTCTTGACTGTAAAGATGACTGCTGCTAACCTCAGTCATTATAAACACACACAATCGTTCTCAGGACTTTACTTACCTGGACGATCGACATCTACAAACATTCCTTGCTTTTTTTGTTGGCAACTTCACTTGATAAATTGACATAAAATCGTTTGCATAATAATCAGCAAATAGGTATGACTAGACCATTATAAAATGAAATTCCATGTAAAAGTTGATGAAGCGTAAAGAATTTTTTTAGTCTAAGTTAGAAATGAACTAGGCCGTCCATGTTAGAAGCCCTCAAAGCATATTTTTCTGCGAGTTTCCTAGGCATGCTGATCAGCTCTGATTTTGAGTGAAACGGTCAAAAATCAATGATTTATGAGCAAGAATTTTAGCTTTCCAGTTTTAAATATTTTAGAAAATCAACTGTAAAAACGCAAGAAATAGCGTTTTCTGCAATCCAATTTAAAAATTTTACCGGGGGGCATGCTCCTTGACCCCCCTAGCAAAGTTGCGCTAATGGTGCGACATTGTGCCTAAGTCTATATACGAAGCTGGATCCGCCCCTGCTTTCTGCTATTAACTGATGTGCCAGAAATGGTATCAATTTACGAGAAAGTCTGCACATTAAACTACAGCGACTCCCTACGCAGGTGATGTCTATATGACATTGGACAATGAACCATTTTATTCATTATATGCAGAGCTTTTACTAATTGCATTTACATTCTCAGTTAAACTATCATTACAGAATAAGAATGTACAGAAGAGTTACTCGTATCGGAACCTTTGATGTCTTTGTCCTCGCACATGTCGAGCCGCGCATGGTGGCCGCCATTATTCCAGCCAGATGATTAGAGTTTTTGACTGTTTCCAAACCTTTAAAATGATCCGAAGTCATTTCTTAAGTCAAAATATACTTAAATTCATTATTAGGTATTGACGTCATGTTGTTTTAATGGCTGGAAACAAGTGAGAAATCTAATGCCTGGTTTCCATATGATCGTTTCTCTCGCTAGAGCCGTTTCTGTCTGTTGAAAAAAGTCCCCTGCGGTGATCAAACGACAGAAGCGATTATTGCGATGAACTGGTTTCCATTAATCGTATGCATCGTATCTAATTTGAACTAGTCACCATACACTTACTGTATGATATATTCAAAATGGCGGAGTCAGTCGAAGAGGAAGACGTGTAGCGTGTTATTTTCTTTTGCGTGTGCTGAGAAGAAGGAGAGAGCGAAAGCAAAAAAGAAAACATCGTTTTTGGGTTTTAATATTTCGAAAATTTGCTATATAAACAATCATACTTCTGTACTTCTTCCATAAATGAAGACGTAGAATTAAAGTTGATTGCCGCCATCTTTGAATACGGAATCTCGCACATGGAATTACGGATGTATCATGGGATAATTCAAGTCGCTTCTGGCGT